ATAAGTATTATAAGATTATAAAAAATAAATCGTTGCCCCACATTTGGATTTTCTCCTGTGTTTTGTGTGCGTACAAACATACAAGTTCACATACACATCACACCCAGACCCGGAACAACAATCTGTGGATCACGCTAAAAGTAGTTCTGTGTGGGAATCGAACCTGCGGCACGTTGCGCGGCAGCCAGTTGGCAACTGTCACCCGTGCAGAACCAGGCCCGAGCGTACGGCGCGCCGCGTTCCGCGCGCGCCTCAAGGAGCCATCAGACCACCACTGATGGGGCCTAACAGGGCTGATGCCGATACGGAGCCGCGGAAGACTTAACGGGTTGCCGGGGCTCCGGCTCGAAGTGCAGGAGTAGGAACGGGGTGGTTTTTAGTCAGTAAGAGTCTGACGCTTCCTCCCGCCTCACCCGGGCGGGAGAAGTCATTGGATGATTTTCCCCCCTCAAAAAAAAAAAGCCCGTTGCCCAGCCACCGCACCAACCGTGCAGTCAAGTCAATATGAGTGTCGTGCTTTGTTGAAACAATTGCCGCGACTAGTCTGGCTCACGTTCGATCCCGAAGTGGGACAAAATATTACTAGGGCTTTCGATTTTTTTTTTAAATTCGCAGTAATGACGCATAGTCTAGAATCATGCTCGGCTCAATTAGGTGAGCCTATTATATAAGTATCAAAAAGACCTATCATAACTATCAAAAAGACCTTATTTCATTAACTAGCGACCCGCCCCGGCTTCGCACGGGTGCAATATGCATGTATTATACATATAAACTTTCCTTAAGAATCACTCTATCTAATAAAACCATCAAAATCCGTTGCGTAGTTTTAAAGATCTAAGCATACATAGGGACAGATAGACGGCAGATAGCGACTTTGTTTTATACTATGTAATGATTTGCCTTCGGAGTATAAAAGGCGTTATTAATGAAATAAAGAAAAGTGTTCTTTCAGACGTGACCAATAATTTCGACTATGTATTTTGGTGTGGAGACCTAAACTTCAGATTGGGGGAACCCAGAGCTGCGCTGCTGAGATGGATCGAACAAACAGAAGTACGTAGTCAATAATCCCCTATATTACTAACTTCTGCCCGCTATTTCGGACGCACATACCCGTTTTTTCCCGTTCCCGTAGGATTTTCGGAAAGTACTTGGATATAAAGTATCCACCGTCCTGGTTCTAAGCTACCTACCCACCAATTTTCAACCGAATCGATTCAGCCATTGAGTTATAAATAGTGTAACTAACATGACTTTCTTTTCTGTAGATTGAACAATTGAACATGTCATATAAAGTTGACAATGATAAGCCCATTTACACTGAGTACTCTTATCACATGTACAATATGACAACCATTTCTGACAGGACTCTCAACATTTTAAAAATAGTCACTAATTCACAAAACACACATACAAAACCACGACTGTCTCCCTTGGGGGTAGACAGAGACTATGGAACGCTAATAGCTACGATTCTTACATACCTCTTTAGGTTCCTCAAAACAACAGATTACAATCCAAAGTCTGGAATAATAGAGTAGTTTCCAGGGTAAGAAAATTAAAAATCGAATTAGTCCGTCAGTTAGATAATGAAAAAATATTAGACACGTATTTTATTATTTTCTCGTATAAAGTTACAATCCTTATCCTTATTCATTATACTATTATAAATGGGAAAGTGAGTTTGTTTGTTTGTTCCGCTTTCACACCGTAACTTCTAAACCGATTGCTTTGAATTTTTGCAGGCGTAAAGTTAAGTCCGGAATAAATAATTGGGGTACTTATCCCGGAAAATTTTGATATTCCCAAGGGAAAACAAAAGAATTGGTATAGATGGCGCTGTGTGTATTGGTTTATGTCACATAGGCTACTTTTATCCTTTTGTGACGCGAGCGAAGCCGCGGATAAAAGCTAGTACTTAAATAAAATGGAGTTAAGTTTAGGAGTGGGAGGTAGTTACGTCACAACGTGCTACATTTTGTATCACGCTGTGACGTCACACGACATTTCAAATCAATATATCATCGAAAGCATTTAATATTGTGAGAAAAGAAAAAATACGTGTCCTAATGTTTTAAAATAATCTACCAGACGGACATTAAAATAAAATTAAGAAAACTACCCTATTGAACGTTTTGATTGAAATTCAAATTACTTTGTAATTACTAAGCTCCATCTTCCACAGTTCCCGTTGCCACATCACCTGCCGCATGGTTTACTTCATGCGGATCAGTTGACTGCGGTCCTGGAAGACGGGGCGGCCTTCCGAGATTTTAGGGAGGCGCCCATCACTTTCCCCCCTACTTATAAGGTAAGATTATTTACTACCTTATTCATTAACAGTTAAATAATCCTGATGGGGAATCCAGAATGAAAATTTTAGAGTTTTTGATTGCAATCGACTCCACAATACTGACGTGGTGAATTGCATTGATCTTGGTCAAGTTCTGATAGGGCAAAAAAACATGTACACGTTGTTTAGATCCTCGATATATATGATGATGTTGCTGATTTTATTTTGACGGTACTGGGCGATGTTGTCTCTGAGGAAATTCCTACTGATTAAACTGTCAAACACCAAGCGGTCATCAGTGACCGCAACCTATTGTTCTATAATTGTGTCTACAAAACCGGTACTCGACGAGTTAATCCCCTAGCGGTTACCGGCTCTCCACATACTCAAATATAGACCTTATTTCCGATGTTGAAGGACTACTTTTGTATGAAGAAATTTTGGGAATTTTCGGTATGATAAATATCAAGTGATTAAATAATTAAAAAATAAAATGAATTGTGGTATAGGCAGAGTAAAATACATTATAGTCACCACCTTGAATTTTTCCGTGGCTGATGTAAGAGCCGGCTAAGCAACCTTTTTAATATAGACCGGGCAGTAGTGCACGATCTTCAACCTGCCTGCTAAGCATAGGAGTTTAACCCTCTTTTAGTCATATAGTGAACTAGGCTGTTAATTTTGATAGTTTATTATGAGTTGCACGGCTGAACCAACACATTTTTTTTTTTTGGTGGATCAAACACTTTTCGGAAGACAAAGTGTTTTTAGAGACATAGGAGAATAAAATAATACATTTTGTATAAATATTACAGTACGATCCTGGCAGTCAACAGTTCGACACGTCGAGCAAGCAAAGGGCGCCGGCCTACACGGATAGGATACTGTACAAAGCGAGATCAATGACGACCAATTCTTCATCTGCGTTTTCTGGTGAGCTTTTACTTTACTTGATACATTATAATCGTCACTAATTACAAGAATATAATTATTTTTATGTTGGTATGTCCAAAAATACATATATCATGATTGTGTACACCTAAATCTTTGCGCAAGTTGTACGAACTTGCGCTAAGTTCTTGTCTCTATTTGCGCAAAAAGAAAATAATTGCGCAACCATACTAATAATAATTATTAAACATTGTTTGGTTGTATAACTTTTTTATTATGTTTTGTTTTGTTAAATAATGTATTGAAATAGTTATTTATATTTTCCTAATGTTTCATTCGTAAATTTAAATGTGTATTTAACATAATGTCGTGAATGTAGACTTTCAGGAATGCACCATGTCATCGGATGAAATGATAGGTATATTTTGAATGTGCCACCCTCTGTTTTTTATGTATCACTAATCTCTATCTCCTTCTCTCCCCCACTCTCCTTTCTTCTCTTTCTCACTCTCTCTTTCAATCTCATTCTTCTAACCTTGTATCTTCCTTATTTAATTAATAGTAATTATACTATCAAATACTAAATGTAAAAACAAATTCTTTTTAATTGAAGGCTATACTTTTCATCTTCAATATTAACACCCTTTGGACTCTGCACCAATGTGCAATATTTCTGTAAATATTTATATATATATATAATATAACTATTTAATGTGGAAAAGTTAATATCAAATTCTTAAATACCCAAATACAAAGATTTTATTAACACTTAAGTCGTTTTCGCCAATCACCCTGAACTGTATCTTAAAGATTTACTTAGCGGCAGGACGCACTTAAACTAATCCCTTACCTATACCATTAGGTGTCACTTATAGGTTGGCGAAAACCAAAATATCGTTACGTATCACCTTAACTTTTATGCTAATTCTATCTTCTATTACTACTTCTATCTATCGTATTATTTTACTTGAAACAACAGCAATGTAAAAACATCCCTCTCTGATATTGACACGGAAGTGGTTGCAGGTCTGCGTCGGATCAGCTCTGTGCCAGTGACGTCAGGCGTCAAGTGCTTGGCGTACAATAGCGTGCAATCTGTGTGTACCAGCGATCATAAGCCGGTGTGGGGACTATTCTCCACTATGCTGCGGCCGGGAACTGATGTGTGAGTTTATTGTATTTACTCAACAATAGGGTAGTTAGTAGGTGCCTCATTTTTATTTTAATATCCGTCTGGTAGATTATTTTAAATCATTAGACACGTATTTTTTATTTTCTTACAGAAACGAATACTTTCGACGATATATTGATTTGAATTGTCGCGTGACGTCACTTCTATGTACATTTTATACGTAGAAATAACGTTTTAGCCCACTCCTTAACTTTGATTTGTTTTATCTAAGTATTGTTTTATTGTACGACAAAATAAAAAGATACGTGTCTAATATTTTTTCATTAATACCTAAGTTGCGGACTAATTAGATTTTTAATTTTCATACCCTGTCATAATCCCAATTACAGTTTCCAATGCTTATTTTTTATGTAAACCAATAACCAAATTTTTCAATTATTAACACATTATTCAAATGCCAAAAGACATCATTATAAACCACATCAAATTCATTATGAATTTCTATCTCTCTCTTACAAAATTCTGTGATAAATAGTGTGTGACGTCACGTTAACTAATTTTTCTTTTTAGTTAACTCGAAAAACAAAAAGGCTATGTATAAACACAAAATACGAGTGTAGTTTGTAAAAATGTATTTTAATGTTTCAAAAAGATCAAACGATTTAATATTTATGACTTGATACAGCCCAATTGTAATGTTTTTGTGATTACTATATTAGAATGATTAAATGTTTTGATTTAAAACTACAACAATAATGTTTCTTATTCTCATGGTGGTTGACTGTTGTTACAGGGTCCCCTTAGCGGCTGGTTTATTCAACCGCGAAGTTTATCTCGAAGGTATCAAGCGTAGAAGAGCTCTGCTCGACCACGCCCCAGGCACGTCCGCGGTATGTAACGTTCAATAACATTGAACCAACCTCCCCAGTCATCAATACGTTCATCACCACTAAAATAACCAATCAAATTATTTTGTATCACATTCTAAATATGAAATACTTACGTAAAATCAGCCAGTTCCTTTTCGATTGCCTTTTTTATAAAGTCGTCGCAGTAAAAAAGTATTACAGTAACCAAAGAGGTTTATATTTTGTTGTTGTTATATTTTATTGTTTTACGATTTTCAAAATGTTTAATTTTTATTATTGTTTATTTTATTTATTACGTCCTAAGTTAGATTAAGTGGACAGGAGTGCAATGTTACAAAAGACGATTTACATTTTAATTGTTAGATTTTAAATTATGATTAATTTAGTTATTTTTTGTGATGTGCTCATTTTTGAAAACATAAAAGACAAATCTAGTCAGTATAATGAACTTCAACAGTATTCCTTACAATAATGTGTTATGTGAAAGACAACAGTTATATAATTTAGTTTTAAACTGTATTAATATTTCCACTTAGTATTAAATTGTTTAGCGTATTATATTCTAATAATTCTTCGTATAATTATTGTGCTTTATACAAATTAATATACTTTGGGCTAATAGCTTAGCAATAAATTAAAAACAACATTATTTCGATGTAGTAGGGGGTATATTTCAGAAATCCTGTTTAGAAAGATGAGCTTTTATGATTATCGTAATCGTAGGTATGTATCGTGGAGTTTCTAAAACAGTACTTAATTAAAATATTTCCTGCCTTATGTCACTGTGTTATACCGTCGGAGGGAATGTTAAGAACATTTCTATGTTGATAAAACTATGTTAATTAGGTGCTGTGATTACTAATCGTCTAGTCTGATGTCCATTCCAGTTACCGTTGTAGTCTCGACGTATTAAGATTCTATATTTAATTCAAGATCGATGTGAAACGTTGGTAAAGAAAGCAAAGAGATGCATACATCTAGTTTTGTGACCAAAAGCCTTAGTACGAGTTTGATTTACGTTTAAAGTATTCGAAACGAGAGCGCGTTCGGCACTCTGATTGGCCGGCACCAATGAACCAACCAATCAGAACGCCGGATGCATACTCGTTACGATCACTTTAAATGTAAAACAAACTCGTACTAAGGCCTCTGATGTATGCACCTTGTCAGTAACTTCTAAAAAACCACTATTCTGTGTGCCGAATAGTGGTATTTATGCGGGCTTATCCTTTTGCTGTAACTCAGAACTGTCACTACAGTGACAGAGATCTGTGGAATGGGTAAAACGTAGGTTGGCTTAACACGTTAAACGCCATGGAGGACCCTTAACGGATCACGTTAGTAGACAATTTGCCCATAACAATTTTCTGTCGGCAACACATTGATCTTTGTCTAAGTATAGAACATTCGTATATCTATGTTATGTAGTTTATTGATATGCAGTGATTGCAGATCTCAATTCTCGGTACTTACGTGAAGGTTGAAATTCAACTTGACGGAGTTTTCGCACAAATGAGGCGCTATGTTACGTCCAACATTTCGTCCTTCTTTTTGTAAGATAATTGAAGCTTGGATTCATTTACGAAAACATACGTATTTCACATTATTTCAAAACTTTGATAATGGTTATTACCATGTTCGATTGACTTTTGATTTAAAATTATGTCTTGTGATTATACATATAAGGTTTGTTGTTGTAATTAGGACTATTTGAGTCATAGGTCTCTTTGGGTGCCAGTCTATGATACTGCCAAACCTAGTGTGGGATATTTCGTATTATTACAAAAATCTTACCGACCAATAATATTCGTGTTTTTAATGAAAATTAACATAAAATGTCCCGGTCCTAGATCGGTGTGACGAACAAAAAAATACTTAGTACGTTGTAGCTGATTTGACGTTATTAATGTGGGATTTTAATAATAAATTAAAAAACCAAAGTTGAGTGTTTTAAATAATATTTTTTCATAACTTTTCGACAGTTAGTCTGATAGTATGATGACTGTAGTAGGCCTAGACGTAGAGTTTGTAATGTCAATTGTCTGAATGTCTTCGTAAATTGACATCTAAGTTATGATTAGGCGCCAAAATTTACTTGGCACTTTCGATCGTCGATATTCGTCAAAAACCGACTCTATTAACAGCACTCGAAGTCCATTTTAAACACTTACTGACATGCACGTCAGTGCTATTGAATGAGATTTATTATTAGACCAGATTCATAAATTCATTCTAAGTAAATCAGTCTGTCTTCCATAACTTGTACGTACGTAAAATATTGATAATTTTATTCAGGATCAATTACCTGAAACCTTATCGTCAATATACTTTACAATTTAGGGAATTGTAACTCCTTTTTGTACTGTCACAAACGTAATATAATAACATTGTGTAAAATATTTTAATTAACTTCTATGAAGGATTACAATCCGCAATGGTAATATATGTATTCTGTTTGTGACTGTACACTTCGTATATTATGTACTTATCATTCGAATGTAACCTTTTTTAATCACATCATTATTAAAAATTTATTTATTTAAAATTAGAACCTGCTTTTGCATTATATAACACTTATTTTAGCTTCTATGCTGTAGAGAATTAAATTTAAAATCGCACAAACGTTCAAAATTCATATTTTACTTCAGTTTCTTCACTGTTTTATTTAATAATAATAACGCAATGTAGTTTATAGTTCGAGGCTGGTTAATACTTGATGTTCGATAAATAAAAGTACAATGTTTTATAAGGATTTTATATCTACATACAAATAAATGTTTTTCGTACACTTTTGGTCTACTTATATCAGTGTGGGTACGCGATATTGTGGTAAAATCTCATATCTATAAAGGAGTTTGTATACGAGCGTGCCTACTAAATAACTCGATATATCAAGGGTGTATGGGAAATAATACAAAGATGGTATATTGCTAACAATTTTATTTTGTACAAGGACTTTTTTCTGTAATAGTACATAGCTGAACAATATAGTTATAATGTTGGTTTTTACTTTGGATAGGTCCTGAGAGGGGAGATGACTGCGACAGAATATTTACAAGAAAGAATTCTCAAAAGTACTGTAATATGCAACATATTAAATATAAGGTGAACAGACTGGCAGTTTACGCCATTTATACAGATAACAAATATATTTTTTTATTTCATAAAGTCTCGCTTATGATTGCTGAATGGTTTAACAAAGTTAAGTACGATATGTGCCTATTCGCTAAAGCAATAGTAGATTTTTGTCGCAGTTATCTAGTCTTTAGTATTAAATGCATTAATTATGATTTTCATTCAATGAAGTAATCGTATTGTCATTATGTGAAATATATTGCTAGTCCATATTTTATAGATATACTTACTTAAGTTATAACTTACTTAAGACAAACAAATGTTATGCTAAAAATATAGTTAACTTTCCTCGCTAATTTTTGTTTAATTTACACCAACATACACATTAACAAAAGAAGTCGGAGTATCAATTAATGGACTTTATAAGCATAATGTCTTTAATTAATGTTATTTGACTCCCTACAACAACTTCTAGACTAGTCAATATTTGTTTTTTTCTTACTATGCATCGCATAGTAAAGCAACAAGCCAAACAGACCTTATCTACTCTATTCAAATAAATAAATAAAAAAAACGAACACAGGGTACCACAACAATTCACAGATTAAAAAAAACTCAAAAAAAGTGCCTAACTGATAGTCATCACTAGTGACAACATTGAGCGTTCCAATTTCGAAATTTTTTGAAATTTTGAAAATTTTGAAAAAAATCGGAACCATGGAGTATGAAACTCCCCCTTTATCATACTCAAACTAACTGGCACTGAATATTATATGCTCACACCATTAACTCTTCTCTGCATCACCCAAAGATCAGACTGGGAGAAAATGCCTGCGGCATTAAGTCCACCTTATGTACATTTTTGTAAGCTGTAAGCTTTAAATAAATAAAATATATTTGATGCGGCACCCTTCGAGAACTAAAAATGTATTTATAAATTATCATGTTCTTATCTATTCATTTTTCCTTTTACTGTTCGCCTGTACGTTGTTATAATGCCATTCGACGCACGCAGATCCCTTGACTCCGTTAATTTCGACACTGCACCATCTCTCGTAAAATTTGGCTTCCCTTGATTTGCCAATATAGAATGTTTCTTCATCGTCAACTTGGACTCGAACTGCATATGTTTTACCGCCTGTAAATATAAAAATAGAAGAGTTGTTTCGAATAAATGATTTCAGAACTTGAACTGAACTTTTTTCACAAGAATCAACAGTAAAGTTACTTATTTGTTCTAAGATTTGTATGGAGCTGAATGCTAAAAAAATTAGTAGCTCTGCATATCATTCTTTTTAAATTATGTAATAGCGCACTATTACAGTAATAACTGTGCAACTGGACGTCAAGCGTGGAGATTGCAAACGCTCTTACGTAGAGGAGTCTCATAGTTCAACAGCGGCCAGTCGTGGCGTGTTGATAACATAACATTACGCCTTTTATCCGTGAAGGGTTAGGCAGAGGTGCACATTAGGGCACTTAATGCCACTGTACAGTGTAACACCCACTTTTCACTATTTATGTTATGAGTCTCATGTAATAGGAGGTGAGCCTATTGCCATATTGCGTGTTGATACCCCTTCACAAAAATACCTTGAGTTTGTGATAATATAACGACATGTTTTTTAACCCATAGAGCGCCACGCCAGCCGGTACCTGATGCTAGTGGAGATTTGACGTTCACCACTTTAAATTATTAAATTAAATGCAATTTATTTGAATGTAACTACGTACCAGCTTCGAAACAGAACCCATAGTCCTTGGGCAAGATCTGATGTTCTCCGTGTTGGTACAACTGGAAGTCGCAGAACTCTACTGGGAGAACTGATTGATCCGACTGACGGCAGAGGTAGCCGATTGTTAGACTGAAAAAAAAAATAAGATTTTTTTTATTCTAGCATAATAATATAATAATAGCAGACCATGTCATTATGAGTCGTTGCTAAAGGGAGTATACCTCTAAATAGGGAGTATCGGTTTCTATAACGATTTTAAATAATAAAGGTTAGGTTTACGATTTTCGAAATTGTGAATAGAGCATAACATAACATAACATCACGCCATTTATCCCCGAAAGGGTAGGCAGAGGTGCACATTAGGGCAGTTAATGCCATATAATTATGTTATGAGTCCCATGTAATAAGGGGTGAGCCTATTGCCACATACCGGGCACATTTCCAGACTCCGTGCTACTACTGAGGTTTTTACAAACCCAGTAATACTTTGCCGGACCCGGGAATCAAACCCGAGACCCCTTGCCCGACAGGCACACTTGCAACCAGTCGGCCAATGAGGCAGTCAATAGAGCAGTGAAGAGAGCATAATCAGAAAATATGTCCAATATAAATCAAATACCTCTATATACCTACGTAAAATTCTTAAAAGTAGCGAATATTAGGGTGATTAATTTAAAATCCTTCAAATCCTAGTGAAAAATTGGCTCTATTTTGGGGAATAAAATGTATGATGTTATTTTGATTGATCTGTGGAACCTACTCCACCTCTTCTTTGTCGTATGTAACATCTACTTACTGTGATAAAACAGCAGGCTGACACACTGAACCAATGGCCATGCAGTCTCCATTTTCCAGGAAGATGAAATGATACACGTAACGGTGGAACGTTTTCCAGTCTCTGAAGGGTCCTGAAATAAAAACATCATTAAGTTAGACAAGTACTGTAAGTACTTGCTTATGTATTACGGGGATGCTCGACTAGTTTCGAGATCGATCGGAGCTCTTAGCAGCAAGCTTTATTTAAAAAAGACGTAACTGTAGACTATTATTTTCTCCTATGTCGTGGGTGCATTTACAAACAAGAAAGTTGACTACTATGACCCATATTTTATTTTGTATGGCATAAGCCGGTAACGAGCAGACGGATCATCTAATTGTAAGCAATCGGCGTCGCCCATGGACACCTGGAACACCAGAGGCGTTACAAGTGTGTTACCGTTCTTTTGGGGAATAGGAGTTTGAGGATTGTTGGTGATTCAGGGATTGGAGAGATTGGGGAAGAGGAGGGGGTATTTGGGCCTTCGGTAACCTCACTCACACGACAAAACACAACGCAAGCGTTGCTTCACGTCGGTTCTCTGTGAAGCCGTGGTATCACTCCGGTCGAGCCGGCCCATTCGTGCCGAAGCATGGCTCTCTCACACTTACGACCTATGTTGTTAAAGGTACCTATTACCTTTTTTTTATGTCGGGGGAAACCTTCAAAAGGCGCCTAGCTTTTTGGGGAGAAAGACTAGGGAGTGTGGGATTCTTACCTCACTAAAACCACTCCGGTGGCCACCCTCAGCACCTGTAAGGGGCACTGGGTCCTCTGAAGAGACCTGCTCCGGAGCCCCCAAAGGTACCTATTACCTAGTGTATCTTGTGATACTTACCAAAACTATGATCCCTGACGCATGGTATGTTGATGGTGTGGTCTTTTCCATCAATTGTGACGGTTCCCTCTAGAACTCCCATTTGCTCGTAATGTGTTTGATGAAACCTGAAACATTAAGTACCTACTTTTAAGTATACATTTTAATTAAAGAATTACCTGAATTTAAAACTCCTTGATACCTAGATTAGTGTAGGTTAGGTATACATTATTAAATCTTAGATAAGAAACCTACAGTGTATTTTTTTTTCTTTTGGACAATCCCGCCACAACCTCCCAAAACCGTTGCAACTCCTGTAAGCCAGGATCTATTAATTTCAACAATGAAAACACCGGAACACTGAAGTCCGGCGCGTTCCAGGGACATGAGTAACTGTCTTGGTTCCGGTAACGAAGTGAATCAGAAAATATTATAAAAGGGGAAGAAAAAAAGGATAGTTTCCACTTTCCTAGGTGAATTACTGCAGGAGACAGAATGAATTAAGCCTAAAGGCACAAAAAAGAGACTGTACAACTGAGTGAAGCCCAGTCGCCAAGCACCACGGAAATTTGACTAAAAACTAAGTGGGTCCTATGTGTGAGCTGTTATACTTGTTTCAATAATAGGTATGGCCAAAGTGCCTAAACGCAAGGAAACCTATAATGTATATCATTTATGAGGAATGCGTCAATAGTGCGGATACACTAAGTTAAATTCACTTTTCCTCACTCGGGTATTTCCGATTACTTAGTACCTATAAGTAGGTTTATTCATTTAATCGTAACAATGTTTGGGTAAAAGTAAAAACTAATTAATTAATTTGATAACAGCTTTGCAGGTACAGTCATCAAGAAAGATAAACTAGATAAACTGAAATATTTTTATTTATAATTTTAGATTAATATTTTTAACATATTACATCACTTTAATTCTTAATTAATCACCAGAATTAAAGTGGGTGTTAACAGAGTTTAAATAGCGATCAAGCGCTACTGGCAAAACATTATCTTCGGTCCAATTTCCGAATAGGATTTCCTCCTCCCCCGGGTGCGGCGAGAGGGAGTGTCATACTCTTACTGACTAAAAAGTACCCCGTTCCTACTCCTGAACTTCGAGCCGGAGCCCTGGCAACCCGTTAAGTCCTCTGCGGCTCCGTATCGGCATCAGCCCTATTGGCCCCCTCTGCAAAATTAAAAGTCCTGATAATATTATCAGGACTTTTAATTTTCCAAATTCTGAATACTAATATGAAAAAGAATTAATGGGTTAAGATTCATTAACTCTAAAGACTCACATTTAAAATTATAAGTAACACACCTTGAAAAGCAGGTTACTATAGAGGTATAATGAATAAAAGATGTGATATATTCTTATGTGTTAATTACTAAAAAAAACATTTAGTAGTAGGTATTTTACTTACTTTTTAAGTAATTTGAAGTAGCCTCTCGACCATTTTTCTTTGGCTAAATCTCGAGCCATCGATTTTGGCGACATCTGTGTGTCGTAGTTGAAATGAGAAAATACTGCACTCCATGTCAATTCCAATTCTACTTTCACTGTCTTCTCTGTGTCGTTTCTGACTCTATAATAAAATGAAAAAAACTTGTAAATCTGGTTTTGTTCCCATATAGTAACGTAGTCTCTAACTATTGGAAATAATATGTATTTATAATGGGGTGGATGAGACAGAACACCGATGTCCTCTCGGCCATAAGTACCTATAGAAACAAGGCACCTAATTAAAAAAAAACTAAATACAATGCTTGCTTCAACAAACATTAAGTATATAAGTTAGGATATTTTATAAAATGCATTTTCCTTTTCTTCTTCTGCATAAAAATTCAATATCAATGTTTGTTAGTCTCGTTGAAACTCAAGAACGACTGAGCTGATTTTGATATTTTAACCGTGAATTTTTTTTTTTTTTTGAATAAGTAGTTAAAAACAATTTTCTATGCTTAAACGAAGCCGCGGTCACAGTAGGCCAAAAATAATATTCAGTAACAGAAAAATAATCGTGGAAAAAAAGTGACATTAATGTCATTCCAAATTCGAATTTTTCCTCAACACCAGTCATAACGGATCTTCGCTAATCGAAATCTTGATAGGAATAAACTGTTACAGCTGTGTACTATCAATATCTATCGATGTACTTAATGCAGGATTAATGACTCATACAAATTTAAAGGCGAGGCCACAACACTCTAGCGACTTTCCGACAAAAAAAATCATATTGAAGTTATGTGTCTTTATCGTTTTGTTATATTTTGCCCTGTTTTATGAGACATTTACGGTAAGTCATCGCATTCGCATTTTGTTGAACAATACCGCTAGCTGTAGTATGTAGGTAAGACCTGGTGCAACGGACACCGTAACGAGTTTTTTTTTTAAGGGGGGAAAATCATCGAAATCATCACCCCGGCGGGAGCAGTTAGCTCCTACTGACTAAAAACCACACCGTTCCTTCTCCTGCACGTCGAGCCGGAGCCCCGGTTACCGATTAGGTTCTCTGCGACACCGTAACGGGTTACCGGGGCTCCAGCTTAAAGCAGAAGTAGGAATGGGGTGGTTTTTAGTTAGCAAAAATCTGACACTCTCTCTTATCTCACCCAAGGAGGGAAAAGTCATTGGATGATTCCCCCCCTCCCTCAAAAAAAATGCTATATTGTATTGTTGTAGCTAGGTGCCTACATCGCGTCGTGTCGTCGAAACATAATAGTGCTGTGGCCTCACCCTAAGATTAAGATGGCCGAGTAGATATCGTACTCACTTCATATCGCCGTTGTAAGTTAGTTTCCATGTGCGCATAGGAATAAAATTGGCAATTTCTAATCCCTTTACCCTGTAGTAACCCTCTTCAATTGTCACTTGTTCTTGGTATGTGTCTGGTAACTCAGGGGATAAGAGAAGGTCTTCTCCTTTAACCTAAAAAGAAATGAAATGTAAATAACAGGTAGGTACTTATCGTGATTACTGTAAATATTTATAAATAATAAGTATAATCCACATCCTTAACACATTCAACGGCGTGTTGGACAATTATGACCGACGCTAACGGTTAGCCTTTAGCAGTTTTTGCCGGAAATTTAAGGTTTAACAACCCTTGAGGCCCACTATTGGGCTTTTGGAGGGAAAGACTAAAGAGAGTGGGATTCTTTTCTCACCAACATCACGCTAATAGTCACCATTACATAGCTCCAACAAGTGACATTGCATTTTTTATGTAGGTAAAAAAGTCGACAAACAAGCCAACGTAAGTATCACTTGATTTTTTTATGGGACAGGCGGATCACCTGATAGTAAGCGATCGACGTCGCCCATGGACACTCGGAACAAGTACGTTACCGGCCTTTTGGGGTTTAGGAATTTGAAGATTGTTGGGGATTCGGGGATTAGGGAGATTGGGGAGATTGGGGAGGCTGGAAGTTAATAGGGCCTCAAGTAACCTCACTCACACGACAAAATACAATGTAATCTTTGTTTCACGTTAATTTTCTGTGAGGCCGTGATATCACTGCAGTCGAGCCGGCCCATTCGTGCCGAAGTATGACTCTCCCACACTTAACACCCCACACATGATTAAGCAATCAGCTCCGTCTCTGAACACTCGCAACATCAGAGGAGTTCCAAGTGCATTGTTAGCCTTTTGGGGATTAGGGATGGAGGTGGAGAATTAGGTGTTCTAAATCCGCTCCAGCTCCAGCTCCGACTGTGTTACGCCACTTACAGCATATGATTTAAGGCTTTGACTGCCGACAGAAAACTGTTGAAGGTAAATTCTCCGCTAGCGTGGCCCATACGTTATCCCCCATGGCGTTCAAGGTGTTAATCCTTAACACTTTAGGTACCTGCATAATACCAACCTTTAAGAATAGGAAAGCATCAACAACATGTTTCGGCCTTCTCGCGATTCCACAAATAACAGCATCACCGTCCTTGTTGCAGCCATTCAGATACACCGCGTCGATGGCCTAAAAAAACCATTAGGTACTTTAGCAACGACAAGAACATCGGCCACTTTTTCCGACTCAGAATTTAAAATTATAAATCATAATTTGCCTGACCAGAAATCGAATCGAGATTCTTTTTCTATAAACGGCTGTCACATTTGTGACTTAACAATGGATGAGGCAATCATTATCATCATTATGCCCATCATCAGCCTATAAGTGGCCACTGCTGACCAAAGGCCTCTTATCGCACAGAGAAGGTTTGAGCATTAATCACCACGCTTGCTCAATGTGGGTTGGCGATTTCAAACTTATAATTAGTAATTGTAAGCCCATTGCCCTAGGCTTCCTCGTGATGTTTTCCTTCACCATAACATCACGACTTTTATCCCTTCTAGATATCTCTATTAGGTAGACAATCTTAGAAAATACATATAACTCGAAAAAAATTACATTGGTCCCTGCCGTTAGTATCTAGCTTTCGAACCCGCACTCATGCATTAGAAGCGGGCAAGCGGGTGTCTTAGACCTCCAGCCCACCACGACATTATCATCGAGGCAATCAATGGCCTAAAACAAAATACCTACCTTCCTATACATATAAAATAGGTACCTACAATAAAAATATTGGTGAAGTAATGCTCATAATTGTGCAATGTCAACATAGATTACTAAATAAGTATGATAATATAATAAAACATGTATAGAGGATTACCTGTGCATGATCGCCTAGATAATACTTATTTTCCAACACTTCATCTTGCTTGTGTACATGTTGAACACCATCGCTACTTTTGCCGGTTTCCACGGCTAATATACGTCTTATGTGGTTTACCAACTACAAGAAATAAAAACCATAATTATTATTATTTAAGTTTCAACTCTTTGCCAGGTCGCTAAGGTCGAAATAGTATGAACGAAATCTGTAGAGTTGGCAGTATGGTTTATATGTAGTCAACAGAATATAATTACAAAGGCTAGCAGAAGACATTGACCTTTGCTTATTTTATTAACCTTATCACCTGTGCTGCAATATACCTATATTGCAGCACTCAAACGCTCAGATATAAGGTCTGATAAAGGCTTGGATCAATAAATCATTGATTGGACAAATTGGACTATAACACTATAATAAATGGAAAGCTTTAGCAATAAACATGTAATCCTATACATACCTGTCTAAAGGATAAAATTAGGTACATAAAAATATATTTTATCCAAAAGAACTTGTTCCTTTGCTGGTAAACACCAAATATCGCCGGCTTATACGGTTTATTCAGTATCCTAAAAAATAACACCAACGCCGCAGGAATAAATAACGGTAAGATCAGATCCCAAAACATTTTATCGAATTTAACTTTTAATTAATTAATTAACTAAGAATAAACCGTTCTTGATTACTATTAGAGTATAAATGATTAATTTTATTTAATCAAAATTCTGTCTGCTTAACTATCTAATCAGTTTGGTGATAATTATACGAGTCACCTACTAAATATAGGATTTTAAAAGTAACACTATAGGTACACACACATATATTTCTCTGGAAATGAAGATTATATATTGAATCTTTAGAGATTAAGTTTAAACTCTTTATAGCAGTGGTGGACGACGGACAAAGTACAATTGGTGTCGTTGTCTGCCCTGCCCGCGAAAAAATATGCCACCTTTTTGAAATGGATAGCCCGCGATCTTATAGGTCACGGAATTTTTATCAGACTCCTTTGACCCTCTTGAAATGTTGGGGCGGTTGTTGTTTGTCCATTCTTTTTGAACGGATAAATGTTCAGTCTTAAAAGTTTATCTTAAAAAATAATTTTAAAGTGGGAGAGCCATGCTTCGGCACAAATGGGCCGGCTCGACCGAAGTGATACCACGGCCTCACAGAAAACCGACGTGAAGCAACGCTTGCGTTGTTTCGTCGTGTGAGTGAGGTTACCGGAGGTCCAATTACCCTCCCCTTTCCCAATCTCCCCAATTCCTGAATCCCCAATGATCCTCAAACTCCTAATCCCCAAAAGGCCGGTAACGCACTTGTAATGCCTCTGGTGTTCCAGGTGTCCATGGGCGACGCCGATTGCTTACCATCAGGTGATCCGTCTGCCGATTTACCGGCTTATGCCATAAAAAAAAATCTGTTTTCAATCTTGAACCAACTAGTAAAACAAGATAGAAAAACAACAACTGCATAATGAGTACATTCGATATAAGAGAATCGGTTAAACTGCTTACGATTAAAACGTTCGAGTAATGTTGTGATCATAAAAATTGAGCTAATATCAGTACACAAAAACAAACTTGACACGTCACTAGAAACAGACCTCATTCGATTACAACTCTAATCTATAGAGGTACATATAAAAGAAAGTCGTGTTAGTTACACTATTTATAATTCAAGAACGCCTCGATCGATTTAGATGAAAATTGGCTGGGAGGTAGCTTAGAACCAGGAGACGGACATAGGATACTTTTTTTTACTGTTTACCGAAAATCACGAACGGGAACGAGGGCAAAATGGGATTGCGCGTACGAAGTCGCGGGCAGAAGCTAGTTTATATTAAAAACAAAATTATGTTGGTATAACAACAAAAACGCAAAAAATATAAAGTTAAATATTTATTCCAACCTTATAATAATAAAACTAAACAGCTTTAAAATAACAGACATCCAGATTTCTTAGAGACCAGTGACAAAAAAAAAAAACAAAAAAATTGTTAAGAGTTCCCTCACGATATAATTTCACACAGTGAAATGTACTATAAAATTTTAGTATTATTAGGACAATTTGGAATACAATGTAAAAGTTTTTTTATAGGAAATATTAATAATATCTATTTATTCTGCGGTTGCTAGGAGATGTTTGTGTACACATTCTTCTTTGTTGATAAGATGTGTCGTTTTGTTCACAAGTTGCATCAACGTGTTTAGGTTGTTCGACCATTCGTTGAGACGGTCTGACGCGTCCATATTCAAACTGTAAATAAAAAAAAAATGTTTAAGGTTTTTGAGGAACTACAAAGTGTATTAAAGTCGTGTCGTGGTGGCCGTCCTGTCGTGGTGACCCGGAGGTTTAAAGCGCCCAATTCTCATGCATGGGTGTGCGGGTCGAAACCTACCAACGGCAAATACCAATGTGACTTTTTCCGAATAATATGTACTTTCTAAGATTATTTAAACACCATGACAAACGGCGAAGGAAACCATCGTGAAGAAACCTGGACTTATAATTTCATATTATAAGTTTGAAATCGCCAACCCGCATTGAGCGTGGTGATTAATGCTCAAACCTTCTCGTGTGAGAAGAGGCTTTGCTTAGCAGTGGGCATTTATAGGGAAATGAGAATACGGGAATGGATCTATAGGTTGCGCAGCAGCCAAATACCCGGCCACTGCACAATCATGCATTGGTATAGCATCGCTCCATATCCAGTAAGTATAACAAAATTTTTAAATACCTTTCAGGGGAAACTAATCTATCTTATATAGATGTCAAAGTTTCATTTGCAATGTAAAACAATTAAAATAGTACAAAAACTGTACCTGAAATGCACTACGCCTGCGGGACGATCGATCTTGGCGCGAACCACACCACTGACGACCAATTGACTGAGGGCCTCCTCTGTTTCCGTCTCACTCAGTCCCAGTAACTCACTCATACGCTTCAAAGTAATGCGAGTGTAGTACATCGACATTATACGAATATTCTGTAACAAAAAAATATGAAATGTTGAAAATGGAGTGTATAATAAAATCTTATACTATATAAAGCGGAAGAGTTTGTTTTTTGTTTGTTTGAACGCTCTAATCTCCGTAACTACAACTCTGATTTGAATAATTCTTTTTGTGTTGGATAGCGCATTTATCGAGAATGGCTATAGGCTATAAACCATCACGCTACGTCCAATAGGAGTTGAGCAGAGCGTGTGAAAACGCGCGGAAGTAGCTAGTAAGTAAATAACGCTAGTTTCAGTCCAAAATATAAAGTTATTTTGGGATGGAACTGTAACGAGGACGTACTCAACTATTTTCAGCTCATGTTAGGGGCCTATAAATCATCAACAGCATGCTTGACAACCGACCCACTGCGCGTCGAGCATCAACAAATCTAGTTCGATATTCAAGGTTCATCAATATAGTATTCAAACTTACATGTTCAACAACCCTATTCTTAAGGTCATTCCAGCGTTCCTGGCCCTTCTCATCGGAGGAGTCGAAGTATGGTGTACCTCGCAACATCTTCTCATATGTAGAGCATAAGGTGTTCCATCTGATGATCTCTGGGTTGATGAACAAGCCCAGTAATTGTCTGCAAAAGAGAAAGTAAATGTAATCCTTGCCTACTTGCCTACTACTTTAAAGTAACATTGACTATATACAGTGGCGTGCAGTCCATATAGGCAAAAAGACTTTGCCTACCTTACAAATACCGTAAATAACACTACGTAATAAGGGATATAAACATTTTAATTTTACTACAGAATACTAAAATAATAATTATAATAAAATTAGTGAACGCCTAAAATAAATAGTATAGCAACAATGATGGCGCGCGATACGTGTTGCATTTCGCCAGGCGTACCGTATATAGCTGTAAACATTAACGCGCGAGGCAGGCACGCGGTTCCGTCGCCTGCAAACCATTCATAAATTTAAGCGTGTAGTGGTGAACGTCATTGTGTGCGTAGTGCACAGACGCGTTTATTTTATCGTCGCGAAGCTTGCCTGCAGGCACGGCCTGACGACTCGTGATTGAGTTCGCCGCTCGCCGCGAGCCGACCAATCACGTTCCGTGTCTTGGTTTACTCATTGGTCGCCTCGCAGCGAACTTCACGCCGCTCGCGCGTGACAATTTTTTTGTTTTTGTTTACGTGCGATGCGTGGATTTTCGGATAATTTTGTTATTTGATTTAGAATACGATTAGTAATTCTACGCAAATAATTTGTAGTAAACGGTATAAAATTGTCTATTTATATAAGTACATTTTATTACTGTGTTTGTTTATTTGTTAATTGATTTTGCAAAGTTATACGAAGAACTGTGAAGTTTGTATTGACAAAAGTTGGTAAAGAATTATAAACTATCGCAGACCATCGCTTAGTGATTAGATTGTGTGTGAGTTTTTCTTCTGATAGTCTTGTCTTGGTAAGTTCTATGAAAGTTACTTTATTTTAATGTGATTAGGTTATGTAACATAAGTAGGTACCTACGCGGAGCTTCCCGTCGCGGCAACTCAGTCAGTAAAAATAACGAAGCTTTAAGTAATATGTTATGTACTAATTATAAAATGAAATGAAGAAGAATAAGCTAGGTAAATGAATGTTTAATAATACTAAAAAATGTACTACCGCTTACTCGGCTCGGCCGCAGCCGGCCGCGCTCGGTTCGATTTTTCTATTAGTCATACCCAAGTTCTTAAAATCATAATATCTCTTGAATAGATGAACCAAACTTATTAATTCGAAGAATTAAATTAAAAGAGTAAAGAATTCGTAATATTCTTGTATTAAACGTGAGAAGGCTGGACAGGCCGCCAGTTCAGTACAATTTTTAGAGTGAACAATTCGTTACTGCTACTGAATTGATAACATAAATTAGATTAATCGTTATACAGCACCTCGAGTAGGTAATTATGCAGATTAGTTTTACAAATCTAAAGAGAAAAATAGAATAAAGTTGTTAGAGTAATCAATCAGTTGATGTAATACTTCACGAAAACAACGAGAGATGGCACTGTTACAAAGAATTGACGAAAGATTAAAAACCTCATAAGTTGAATTGTGTTATGTATTTACGATGAGTTTAATCATAATACAATATTATGTTGCCTACCCTGTTCTAAAACCCTGTGCACGCCACTGACTATATATATACTATAGATATAGATAGACTAAATTGTATCCTGTATTTGTACCTTCAATTTATCAAATATTTCTAAGAAAACTTCGATTATTTAAAGACTCATTGGGAGCATGTCGAACAAGAGACAAGGCATAGCTCAGAAAATGGATTAAACACATGCTTATTTTTTTATGCACACATGCTTATTTTTTTCCAACTACTGAATTATGTAGTTTACTAAATTTTATTTTAAAACATTAGACACGTATTTTTTCTTTTCTCACAAAATTAATAACTTTCGACGATATATTGATTTCAAATATCATGTGACGTCACAGCGTATCGTATCGTGTAACTACCTCCCACTCCTAAACTTAACTCCATTTTATTTTTTTTAGTGTGGTGTGGGGACCCAATTTAAGTATTGTAACTTTATACGAGAAAATAAAAAAATACGTGTCTAATATTTTTTCATTATTTAACTGACGGTCTAATTAGAATTCGAATTTTCTTACCCTGGAAACTACCCGATTGGGACTGCCCAATTGGCAACTATGCCAGGGTATGAAAATTAAAAACGTAAATAGTCACTCTGATAATATTAACCACGTATTTTTTTATTTTCTTTTATAAAAGTACTTACAATACTTGGATAAAATGGAATTCAGTTTAGGAGTGGGGGGGCTGTTACGTCACAAAGTGCTACACGTTGTGACGTCACAACCGTATTTCAAATTAATATATCGTCGAAAGTATACGTAAAGAAAAAATACGTGTCCAATATTTTAAATCAATCTAGGAGACAAACATTAAATTAAAATTTAGGTATCTACCCTATTCAACAACCATAATGGAATTGAATGGAAACTTACTTGTACTCTGGCAGTTTATCCAAATCCTTATCTTCATTGACTCTGTGCGTCAGATCAGCTTGTTCGTTGTCATAAGGAGCCAGGATCAGGAACACAACACTTCCAATAAGAGCGTCGGAACCAGCCAACTGGCCTAGTGCCCTGAAGTGACGGCATACTGACAAATACTGACCGTTGTGCTGATCTACAGCTATCATCAGCCGGTAGAACTTCTCTTTCAATTCCTGGAAATATTTATTTGATAGTTACAAAAATGCAGATTTTTCATAATACACAAAACAAAAATTCTTTTCTCTAATTGCCATACTTCTTTTTTGCTGTTTGGATGTTACAATACTGTCAATTTAAATAAGGCCTGAGGGTCATATAATTTAGATATAGACACATAATTCAATCATTAATAGAGAACTTGGTATATTAAGTTCTATTCAAGTGTTTTGGAAGTTATTACATACCTGAGTATCATCCTCCTCAAAGAACTTGGTGTTGATCTTTTTGGAAATGATTTGCGTGCGGATATAGTCTTTGATGTTAAGGCATAATCTCATTTGTTCCAGGATAAGCTCAACCTTTTCTCTCTTATCCATGGAACCGTAAGTCTCAACCTGGAGTTCTTGGATGATCTTAGCAGCTTCAGCTGCATTTCCCTCTTCCTCTCTAATCTTTGCCAAGATATGTGTAAGCCTAGCTCTCTCGACTTCCACGTAAATCTTGCCTTCAGTTATTGATCTCAAAGTTTCAATAAGTTTTATTTTGGTTTCTTTATCAGGTGTCTTGTCTACGTAAGTGCAACATTCTTGTACCATTTTCACTACTGCTTGCTTCAATTGGGACCTGGAAATGAGATGTTAGTAGTTAGTGTTTTATCCAGATCATAGTTCATCTATATGGTTCATTTCAAATAAAAATATTATGATGTTTTTGCATAAAAACTATCTAATGACATAGTCCAGTGGTACACTATAAACCTCCTTCTCGCAATGGGTTTTCTATAATCTCCGTACTTGGAAGGGAGTTTGAAAGTTATTGTTTGAGTTGCTTTGGTTTATCAGATAGGACTGCTACCAGTTTCAATCAATGTGTAATCCTTAATCCTTTGAGTACCATTATTATAGACACAATTAAAGAACAATAGGTTGCGGTCACCAGTGTCCTCATGATGTTTGACAGTTTAAACCACTTAAATAGTTCATAAAAATATCATAAATTCTTCATAAGAATCAAATTAATATTATATTTAGTATGATTATTCTTACCTTCTTTTGGACAAAAGAACTATTTGGTCATTAAGTGCAGACCAGTTTTTAGCTTCATAACATATCTGCACTATTGCCACCAGAATCCTGGCAGTTGAAGCCATGTCAGCACCCTATACAAAAAAGTTCATTAGAAGGACATTAAGGATATCCAAAAGACAAGAAATGGCCTGATGGTGAATAAAATGTGAGTCATTTTCTTTAAATAAAAATATGCTTATATTGCATTTAGCATATAACAAATTAGGTCATCTTTGCTAATATTATGGAATGGATTTGATTAATTTTACCAAAAGTTGAAACTATTACATGGGACTCTTAACATAACTAGTGAAAAGTGGGTGTTACATTGTATGTGCAGTGGCATTAAGTGCCGTAATGTGCACCTCTGCCTACCCCTTCGGGGATGAAAGGCGTGATGTTATGTTTATGTGTGATGTTTACGTTGAAACAGCTCTATCAACATTCCACATATTTTAAATTTAACAATAGATAAACAGTAATTCTTTTTGATTATAAGCAAGTTTGTGAATTTCCAGAAACATAATTAGTGTCGGTTTTTCTAATGAGAAATAGAGATTCAGAAAGCATAAAATCTGATCTTACAGTTCTCGTTTGTTTTTCTAAGGCCAAAAGTTGGTCGATAGCTTCTTGAATTTTTCCTTTTGATGCCCATGACTTCCACAGTGGTATCTTCTCATCGCAGATGGCACTGTAGTCGACCTGAAATAGAAGAATAGTGTTTTACAATTGGTATAAGTTGTAACCAAAACACTAACTATACATTTGTGGTATACTTTTTAACGTATAAACGATAGTATTTTAGAGTTAGAAGATTAAATGGCAATTCTGTAGTGGTTAGAGAAAAACAGTTGGTTTTGTTATACAAGTATTCATGATGGAATCTCATCGTCCAGGTGAAATTTGTAAATGCATGATAATGAATTTATAACTAATAATTTGGTACTTACTTCCATTTTAACAATTTTGCCGCTGGCATCAAGACTAGTGATATCGCCGTTCGTCGACATTTTTAACAAACTGCAAAAGATAAACAATCATGAATATAAAGATAAACTTTACAAATAAATGTATGTAGTAGAAAGACTAATAAATGTATTAGATTAATTGGTTGGACAACTCACTTTGAATAAAATTAATCAGTAAACAATGAAAAGCTTTCCAAAATGCTCGGTAATGCAAACTCACGATTATGACAAGACAAAGATTGAATGACAGAACGAATGAATTACCACAGACAATCTAGAATGACTTGTTGACACTTTCATTTTTTTTTCACTTTTATACCTTTGCAAGACGTAGTATATAGCCTTTTAACTAGAAAATATATAATAACCAGCTAAGTCAAAGGATTAATTATTCGCCCCTAAGTGCATTTAGTTTTTCCCGTAATAGTAAATATTACTTTCTGTAAAAATGAGGTATGTTATTTAATGAATGTTGATTACCAACCTACTTCACTAGGTGGCGTTAATGTTCTTAAAAACCTTATATCATAAATGTAATACTACATTAATATCATATCAGTTTCATCTTTATCACGGAGCGAGGGGGATTGGGATGCCGTCTCCTCCTTTTGCGAAGCAGTCATGCTAGCTAAGGAGGAGGCGGGACGCGTGAGGCAGCGAAGCGCTGCCTCCTCGCAACCCAGCCATCGCGAAGGACACACCGGGCGTCGGGGATCGCGGGACGATCTCCGGCCACCGTAAGCGCGGGCCAGCGGACGGCGAGCATGGGTGGCTCCCCGTCCGACCAGAAACAGACCCGAGCGTACGGCGCGTCGCGTTCCGCGCGCGCCTCAAAGAGCCATCAGACCACCACAGATGGGGCCCAATAGGGCCGATGCCGATTCGGAGTCGCGGAGAACCTAACGGGTAACCGGGGCTCCGGCTCGACGTGCAGGAGAAGGAACGGGGTGGTTTTTAGTCAGTAAGAGTCTGACACTCCCTCCCGCCTCACCCAGGCGGGGGCAGTCATTCGATGATTTTCCCCCCTTAAAAAAAAAAAAAAAAAAATCAGTGCCTTTTATTGAAAGCGTAAGTAAACTATTAACGTTGTTGGGTAGCTAATAAACCAAGAATTTTTTTATAGTTTGTGCCCTTAGTTATTTAAATAAGTCCAGTTTCCTGTTGACGAAATTAGTGACTCAAAACAAATTTTGAAAAAACAAATTAAACGAAAGATATTGCATTATCGTCAACTGAAAATCGATCAAACCAGGGACCAGTTTAAAGGCAAAATTATTCAGTTAATGTTTAATGATGTATAGTGACAAATGATAAAAACTTAAATTAATTGAGTAGTTTTCTATTTATTAATGTTTATGTAGTTCGGGATTTTTTAGCTGTAGTCTATAAAACATTACACTATTTTTTTATTTTACGTTTTTATTTGTTATTTAAAAAAAACGTTGTCTTATATTAGCATTGTCTCCTGCGTCGTGGGTGCGTTTACAACCATACAGGTTCACATACATAATTACACCCAGACCCAAAGAAACGATTTGTAGATCCCACAAAGTGTTGTTCCGTGTGGGAATCGAACCCGCGACACGTTGCACGGCAACCGGTTGTACAGCCACCGCACCAACCATGTAGTCTATGATCAATAGGAGCCGAACAGATCGGGTTAAACCGCGCTGCAGTAGCTAGTACTAAGAAAAAATTATGCGTGTGTAAAACAGGCTTAAACATAAATGAAAATAATATGACATGACCACTTGCATTGTAGAGCTGTGTAGTTCTTCCCACCATTAGTAGATAACTAAAATAATATAGTAATACTAAGTCGTTAAGTAGTATTAAAATAAAACAGATTATTTCTACAAAAATTTAATATTTACTGGAGATTAACGATGCAATACATATTGTACTTACATTTAAAAGTTAAGTAAGAAACATTACCTACTGAATTTTAGGTTTTACTAGCTGTTGCCCGCGGCTTCGTCCGCGTAGAATATGAATTTTAGGACATAACTTTTTTTGTTTCAATTTTCCAAAATAGAAGTAGCCCATGTTGCTTAGTACATCACCTAACTGCCGATAAAAGTGCTGTCAAAATTGGTCCAGCCATCCCAGAGATTAGCACAGACAAACAGACAGACAAAAATTCTAAAGAATGTTATTTTGGTATATGTATATCATATGTATATTCATATGCGATTATTTTAATACTAGCTTTTTTCTGCGGCTTCGCTCGCCTCACAAAAGGATAAAAAGTAGCTTATGTGACATATACCAATACACACAGCGCCATCTATACCAGTACTTTTGTTTTTCCCTCGGGAACATCAATTTTTCCGGGATAAAAAGTACCCTATTATTTAATCTGGACTTCTAACTTTACGTCTGCAAAAAATCAAAGCAATCGGTTTAGTAGTTACGACGGGAAAGCAGAACAAACAAACTCACTTTCCGATTTATAATATTAGTAAGGAAGTAAGGATTACAAACAGACACCCCATCTTTATTTATCTGTACCTATAGATATAAAAAATTACATGAATTGTAATGTGGATATGTTACGTACAAATAACTTATCATTACATGGTTACAAAAATTAAATAGGTATGATTAAAATTACTGCAAATAAAGGGCTACACCCTATGACTAGACAAGGAAATCGACATTGAATTCGTGTTTCAAGGTTCCAGAACCTCATACAAATGAACTTTCACGGGATCAGACAATACACGAATTTGAGCAGTATTTTACAAGCTATTTTCCACAGTATACTTATTCTAGTACATATTAATTTAAGATATCATTATTTTAAATGATAAAACTGATATATACCTAGTTAATATTTTTCGTAACTGCCTCGTTGGTTAAGTGATTACAAGTGCGACTACCGATACCGAGACAGATTTTTTTTTATATAGCATAAGCCGGTAAACGAGCAGACGGATCACCTGATGGTCAGCAATCGGCGCCGCCCATGGACACTCGAAACACCAAAGCGTTACAAGTGCGTTACCGGCCTTTTAGGAATTGGGAATTTGAGGATTGTGGAGGATTCCGGGATTCGGAAGGGATCAGGTTTTATTTGTTTTTTACTAACATTTGTTTGTAATAAACTGGATTGTGCAATTGGACTCAAATTATTGTACATAGTGTATATTACCTTTATCCCCTAATATATAGGTACGGGGTGGGACAGTGGGTATAATGGACAATAATGGTATGAAGTCATGTTATTTGCCAGTTTTAAAAATTTTTGTTTGAAAGTGTGTCATTAGAGTTGTTAGTATCTTTACCCTGCTATGCTTCTGGTCCTAATACCTCGGATCCAGTAAAATTTGCTTATGCTTGATGATTGCACTTATAATCATATCACTCGACTAATGAGACAGTTTTCCAGTCCAAAATTTTATATACGTCTAAAATTCTAAAAAAAAATGTATCAAAAATAGATTTAAGAACTAAGAGTAATTAATGATATATCAGCAATTTCTTGTTAGCCATTACCCAATTATCACAACTAAAGTTTATGTCAGTTCTACATCAGATTCTGCTTCACCCATTATAATATCGTTATCAGCATCGCTTTCTTCTGACGAGTCGCAAACGTTTTTCTCTAATCGCTCTGTTAGGGCGTCAATTGCTGCCTCGTGGCCTATGTATTTCCGCTCTTCTCTTATTGCTTGATCGCATGCGTTTTTCCATTCTTGTACATCAATTGAATTTATTTTGGTCTTGACAAATTTTGTTATGTTTTTAGCTTGCTTACACCATTCGGTTCTCTTCCCCATGTTTTGTTTTATTGTTAACCACGTTTTCTTGAAAGGGTTTAGTTCTGGGTGATATGGTGGAAGACGAAGTACACTATGATTATTCTTTCGAAGTATACAATCAATTTTAAACTCTTTGAAGGTTTTCTTATGTTCCAATATTAATTGATAAAGTTGCGGTTTTAACATAGAAGACGAATGTATAATATTTCGAAAATCAAGCCAATCAAGCATTTCTTGTTTACAGGCGTGAGGTCCAGGGGCTGGATTTTCTAATATATTTTGATAAAAAATGTTATCAATTACTACAACACTTTTTGGTTTCAAATTAGGCATCAAGTCATTTTCAATCCATTTTATAAAATCTTCAGTGTTCAAATAATGCGGTCGAGCTTCAACTTGATCATTAGTTTCAAACATGGCTAGTGCATTTGGGACGAAGCCGTCTGATCCACCAGCATGAACAATAATCAAACCATTTCCCCTGGTAGATGGATTTGATGAAATTGAAGTATCTATGTATACCTCACTAGCGTACACAATCGGTCGTCCTTGTGATCTGTATTCAGCAATTTTAGTCAGAAAATTTATTCGTTGAAAACGTATTTTATGTTTTTCAACCAAAATTCCAGAATTGCCTTCTGTCATTTTCCAATGAAATCCCATCCGTGCTACTTCCCGTCGTAATGTAGTACATGAGCCAGGATAATTAAGTTTCTCCTTCACAGCTTCGTGCAGAGATGTCATAATGGGAAACTCTTTATCTTCGTTGTAATATTCATAATAATAATCGATGATTACCTGCCGAATTGCAGCCCTATCGAAATCATTGATGTTAAATTTGTTTTTCCTCGAAACTAACAACTTTTTTGAAGAAGTAAAAGGCTTTCCTTCTTCCAGAGTTCGTTTACTTTCGAAAATTACCTTTTTCACAGAAGAAAATGGAACACCTGTCGCATCTGATGTTAATTTAGCTGCTGATGTTTGGTAGATACTCGACATATCTTGATTTTTTAGGCCATTGAAATATTTGTGTAAATTAAACAGTATTTCTTTGGAATGCCTATCTAATATTTTTCTCTTTTTCGGAATTTCAATATCAGCTGGATCCATAAAGTTTAAAGGCACACTTCTGTCACTTACAGCAGGAGTTTCATTTTGAATTTGTTCATCTTCATTAATCTTATTCAAGATACGAATAAGCAAAGCAGTTTCTTCTTTAAGGTAAGCTTTGCCCTCTGTTACGAAACTTAAAGTTTCGATTAATTTCATTTTATTTGCCTTGTCTGGTATTTTATCTATGAAAGTTATACATTCTTGTACCATTTTTAGAACAGCCTCTTTTGGTTGAGACCTATAAAATAAATGAAGAAAACAAATTAAAATCAAACAATTATGATTAGGTAATGTTTTTTTATGGAATAGGCGGCAAACGAGCAGACGCATCACCCGGTGGTAAGCGATCAGCGCCGCCCATGGACACTCGCAACACCAGAGGAGTCACAAGTGCGTTGCCGGCCTTTTAAAAAGGAATACATACTCTCTTTTCTTGAAGGTTTGAAGGTCGTATCGGTTCAGAAATACCGCGGACGACAGATCATTCCACAGTTTTGCTGATAAGATGGGAATGCATATGTTGTCGTGGTGAGGGTCGATGGCGAAAAGATGCGATAGGTATCAGGTTAAACAATTCCTCAGAGTACTCCAGTGGTATAAGCGTATTAGTAAAATGTAATTAAAAAATATAATCATTTACCTACCTTTTTCTTGATGAAATAAGAATTTGTTCGTTAAGAGCCAACCAATTTTTAGCTTCAAAATATATCTGTACTATGGCTACCAAGATTCGTGCCGTAACGTCTGGTACAGATGTGTGCTGTAAAATAAAATACGATGTAATGAAATAGATATACAATTATTCCTTAGGTCAAATAAAAACTTTAATAAAAATGGTATAAAGAGACATATGTATATTATGTAAGTCTTACGGCTCTGGTTTGTTTTTCTAAAAATAATAGTTGGTTTATTGCTTCTTGGACTTTGCCTTTTGCAGCCCATGACTTCCACAGCGGTATCTTTTCGTAACAAGTGCTTCTAAAGTCAATCTGAAATTAATAATAAGAATACGTATTAAAACACATTTTCAATATTTATATGGTCAATATTAGAAAAAAATCGTGCGCTACCAACGGCAATGCCTGGCGATGGTCAATTGTTTTGACCTTGCGACCAATATAATACAATCGTTTGTCAATATAATACAACCAATCCATACAGTTGTGATTTATGTAAGTAGGTACTTACTCTTTAAAGTGTATGGTAACTTTGTTTATTGGGACATACAGAAAATTGAATAGAGTACCCCTTTAAAAAGTTTACTGTTGTAAACTGCCCTATTTTCACTCATTTTATTGTTATTCCATTGATGCGGTGGGCCCTTTAACTTAACGTTAGGGGTGGCAGTACTCGAGGTTTTTACTTATTATTTTGTATGTCGGCCGACGGTAAAGTATCTTTAAAGTAAGTGTAGTTGTAGGCCATTTGGGTCAGCATTGCGTTTTGGCTGAACGAACTTCGTCTATTGGTTCAGTTTCGGAAGCGAAAAGTAAGTCGACATACCTCAATTCTATTTGGTGGTCTCTCCGAATCGGTGTCCGTATCAGTACACATCGCCATGCTAGCAAACTAAAACAAGAAACATAATATTGCTACAGACACACGTAGGGGACTCACAGGATAAGCAAAGTGAATATTCAGTGTTTGTTTTTTTTTACTAGTCGTGAGATTTGACAACTTAAGTAGGTAGTTGAGAACACTGTTCCATCAAAGAATCACCAAGGACTTAAAGAAAGTTTAATTTACCTTAAACAAAATTATTACACTTTACAAACATTTTACATTTTCGTAATCGTATAATTCGTTAACCGGCTAAGTAGATATAGATTGCTGGTTAAGCAAAATGTATTCATTTTATAAATGACTAGCGACCCGCCTCGGCTTCGCACGGGTGCAATATGTATGTATTATACATACAAACCTTCCTTAAGAATCACTCTATCTATTAAAAAAAACCGCATCAAAATCTGTTGCGTAGTTTTAAAGATCTAAGCATACATACGGACATACAGCGAAAGCGACTTTGTTTTATACTATGTATTGATTAGGTATTATTATCAAATTATTTAAAAGCGCCTCTAACAAAAGTAATAGCAAACTTACGGAAAAGTTGCCTATACCTAAAATAATTTTCAACACTTCATTATACAATTAAACAAATGAACGTGAGTAATTATTACTATAGCAATAATAACGTGAGTAAAATGTATTGAACTTAACTTACCCTATAACAGACTACTTCTGCTCTAACTTTCGGTGTTTGAGAATGTGTAAATTATTGAAACATGCCTTAGCTCCCGTGTATTGTAGATGTTATCGATTTTCCTGCAATATTATTGTTGATGTTTATTGTTATGTATACGTAAAATCTGCAATCATTCAGTGCGACATAGATCACTCTTACTTATTTTTTAATAGCATTCAACGCTTTGGGCGGGATTATAAAGTTGTGTAAGTATTATTGTATATACAAACCATTTTTTTTATTTTGTGTATACACACAAGAATAGTCAAAGATAATAAGTATGATTACTTATTATATTACCGAATATCATGTCTATGTTCTTAATCATTCGTATTGTAATTTGTTATATTCATTGTTTCAGGATAATTTAGAATTATTTAGGTATTATTCTTTTTATTTGCAACTTAATAAATTTATAAGCATTATTATCATTAATACATTATATGATTTTTATTCACCGAAACTACGATTTAAAAATATAAAATTTTGTCTGAAAAGCCCAGAGCTCGAAGTTTTAGTTCCCTTACTCTATGTCATTTCATTCATTCTCAATTCATTCAATTAATTTATCGAATAGTCCATTCGTTCTATTGATAATGATAAGGTGGTAGCTACTTATGGCGTTGTAGGAGACGATTGGATTATTTTTACATTTTACATGTAATAGTTATAATTGATGACGCTAATCTCATATGAGATTTCAGCATTTATTTACTTATAATTTTAGTTATCGTGTAATGCTCGTTATAGTTATTCGGTGAGAGCGAATATTTCTTTGTTTTTTTCATCCAACATATGTTGGACTACTTCAGTTCGTTACAAATTACGCGTAACAAATTTTTCTGTACGCGCACAATGATTGCATCAGTAAATTGTGATAACTTAGGTTCAAACAACAGTAAAGGAACCAGAAGCCATTCGGCTCAAGGTCTGGCGAGTTCCGTGTCTAGTTCAGCAATGAAGATACCGTTACCTCCTCGTCCATGGATCACAGGTAAGAATCTTGTATGATTATTTATAGATTCAAGTCAATTTACTTTCGTTTCTAATAATCTTCTAACTATATTTTGAGAAACGCTATGGAAATTTGTTACGCGACAAGTTATGTGGCATTCATTATTTTGTATGTGAAAGTTTTTGTGTCGTTGAATTGGAATTGATTTTCAGGTATTGACGGTTATGTGTCTGTTTTCAGCATTGTTTGTTATTTGTAAAGAGTCAATCTCATGTTACTATAAACAGTAGACACGATTGTTTTACCATATTATTATTATGTATACATACATACGTACTCTCACGTTTGCTGAGCGTATGCATGGTTTATGTACTTACCTAGATTGATGTTGTTTTCTAAGTATATTCATAATGGAAAACATGTACTATTTGTTGGTATCTAAGTACCTACTGTAGTGTAAACTACTTCGTAATGCTGATAAATGATTTATAAGCAAACAATTCTATACTTATCTTTGTGATAGACTCTTTAGTGACATGTGGTACTTAGCTAGTTTTGTTATATGGAACTTTGCAATGAACAGTTTGAGAATATTTCCAAGATTGTGTTTATAAATATATGTAGTGCATGCATGAGAATTGAGTTTTTATTCAAATAAGAACTTATTTAATTTATTGTTGAATGCATAATGCATTTACTGTTGTACAGATTGTATAACAGTTTAACATTTCATTCAACTATACATTCCTATAAAACTCTGCAGATGGTCTTATACATGTATTCAGTAGGTACAGCAGTCCTTGCTTTGTTTATTTACTATAAGAAACTAAGATAATAATGCTAAATATGTTTATCAGAACCAATAGGTATAGGTATCTAATGTGTCAAGTTAAAATTAGCATTTTATGAAGGTCAATCTAATTTAAAAAGTAATACTTTTTAAATATATATGTACATTAAATTTAATTTTAAATATGTAAATAACTATATACATTAAATTTAATTTTAAGTATAATTTGTGGTTATTGATAACCATCCCAAATGCTTAGTTGGGAACTTTTCAGATTTTCCATATTCTATCTAAACTAACATTTAATCCAACCAAAATTGTAATGTCTCTTTAGGGAACTGTAATGGAAGTAATTTTAGAGGATTCATAAAATATGTTTTATTGAGATATGTAAATGTAAGGTTTATCTTAAAATCTGAAATATTTTAGTTCAGAAATTCAGTTTTGCAGCATTCATGATAGTTTTTACACACTGTAGGATTTTAGCCAGCTTAAATGAAATGTTCACATTACAAACACTCAATATTATGAGGAAAACCAGTTAATAATCACATTTAATGGTCTAACAAAAAATCCGAAATCACTTGTGCAATAAAATGATGATGACTCATGTAGAATTTGTATTATTTGTATTTTGCAATCTGTCACAGTATTGCAATATTGTGGAATTGTAAAATTGAAATGATGTTTGTGTTATTATTATATTCTTTTATGCTAAAAATGTCATGGATGCAATCATTTTTGATTACATTTATGTAAGGTCACAGTGAGATATTTAAACTTCATTACTTATAATTATATAATTTTTGTTCTTGTATATCTCTTAAAACTTGTTCAAATATCCTTCAGTTGCATCTTGTAAGTCTTAAAATCATATAGAAGGCCATTGTTTATCTAGACAGTTCGATAATACCAAGTACTTGCATGCAACTACAGTTATCCAATTTAACGCTGCGACCAGTTTCAAATAGGATGTGCAAATTATTTTATTATTCACATTGCCAGTGCATCACAGTCCCCTACGAAGTGCAGCCATAAATTCTTAGTGCGTGGTTATAGGTTCCTGAGAACATTTTAAATATTTTTTTTTATTGCCAAACAGATGCAGAAGATGATTCATCAGATGACATGGACAGTAGTAGTATTATAAAAGACGAGGGCCTGATTGCTATGGAAAGAACGAGAATGAGGTCAAGATATCGACACCATAAACAAAGACAAGTTAATGTACCTATTGGAATATTTTGGGATATTGAAAATTGCCAGGTAATTTCTTTTTGAATACATTTTTTTACAGTTGACAATATTGTATTTATACTTTACTTTTCTCATCTTATTCCTTTTACTACCTCTTTGGTTAACTCGTCGAGTACCGTCATTATAGACACAATTATAGAACAATAGGTTGCGGTCACCGGTGACCGCATCGTGTTTGACAGTTTAAATGGTCTCAAGGTGATCTTATAACTGTTTTCTGTTTTGTCCTAAAATTGAAGTCTTTATTACAGATACCAAGAGGTTGTTCTGCTATAGAACTGGTGGCTGCGATACGAGCAAAGTTTGTAAGGGATGGAAGAAGAGAAGCTGACTTTGTAGTTGTTTGTGATGTTCGGAAGGAAACAACCACAAGACTCTTAGAACTTAATGATGCTCAAGTAAGTTTCATTAAAGTATTTCTTTTTTAGTTTGAACTTTATAATAACATAGAATTGTTCCAATTCCTATTCATGTTATAAATTCTAAATGGATAAGAATGGATAAATATGAATGAAAACCATACTTCAAAACTATACAAACATATCATAAGACTATGCATTATTACTCTTTGAAGTATATATAAATTGTGTATTTATTCTGTATTATCTACATCTATTGTATGATACATGTTAACAATGATGAAGATTCTGGGAAGTTAATCTCTCAACGATTGTTACTTAGTAGACATTGACATTGTTATATCATGTCATGTTTTGATCAAACACATTGAACTTTAGCTTTCATTGTAGTCAGTAACAACAAGGAAAAGTATTGGCATTGTTTATTTGCATGTAGTTAGCAATTTTTTGTATACCTAAAAATGCAAAAGGTTAGATGTGCCTGATTGAACCGCAACAACAAAGAAATTACAATTTCATTGCCGACCTTTTAGCAATAATTCTTAAAATTATCTGATATTATAAATATATTGACAGTATTAACAAAAAAATTACCAGTTACTCACGTAAATATGTATACTTAGAAAGCTCTACTAGTTTCGAGTCACAGAGGAACTCTTCCTCAAAGCTGCGGGCGCAGTCGCGGCGACATCGCGCAACCTACTCCGCAATAGACTCCCTTTGTGACTCGAAACAAGTAGAGCTTTTCTCAATACTTACATTTACTTGAATACCTCGGTAATTTTTTAGTTAATTCAGTATGCCTGACGATAGTTGTTATAAAAATATATTGACAGTATTTCTTTGTATATCAACAGGTGAGCTTAATACATGTCTGTAGAACTCAGAAAAATGCGTCGGATGATAAACTTCGCCAGTGTATGAGGAGGTTTGGTGATCTCCACTCATCACCGGCTGCTATATTATTGATATCTGGCGATATTGACTTTGCTGCAGATTTAACTGACTTCAGATATAGGTATGAATTTATGTACTAAGTAAATTGAAATTTTCATGTATTAATTAATCTTTATTTATTAAGTACTATTAAAATAAGATGCTAAAGTAATTAAGATGTGGAAATGTTCGAGAATATTTTGGTATCTCGATATAGAAACTGACACAGTCCGAAGTCTATTGTGTGAATACATCCAGAAGAATTGTTCTGTATTATTTTAGTTGACACTCTAGTATTTAATTTGCAAAATACATATTTATAACTTATATATTCTATATGTATCATACATATTTTTAAACTCACATTAACTTTCTGTCTGACTGTTTGAGGTGAACTCAAAAACTGCTAAACATTTGTTGATGCAGTTTACTCTTGATTCTCATGGAAGATTGTGTATAATACATGATGGTTTATATGCGGGCAGAATGTGACAGTATTTTTGTTTTTATGACACATTTAAATTAAGAATTATATTTATCAGGAAAAACATGGAAGTGATATTGGTGCACAAAAAGAACACTTCGGCGGCTTTAATTGCATGTGCCTCGTCTCATTATTGCTTTGAGGAGATCGCCTCTACTCTGCCCAGAAAGGTAAAGGCCAGAATATGAGACCAATAACAAATTACTTTATTTATTTTGTTTTCAACTTTGACCCACACTAGGATGCTCTCCAGTGTCGTGGGTGCATTAAAAAAAATAAAAATGTCGCATACACATCACACTTAGACTCAGAACAACAATTTGTGGATTACACAAATAATTGTTCTGTGCATGTTAACCTGTGACAAGTTGCACAGTGACATAGTCACTGTGCTAAGCGTGCAACCTAATACTTTAAGTGCTAAACGTTTAGTTTAATCTTTTAAAATCTTTAATTAAACACAATGTGTTTACATAGTGATAAGCTATCAAATTATTATGCGACCCCCAATAACAATGACTCATACATTTCTAAATGGTTATGGCAGTCATTCCAGTATCGCCTTTATACACGCACTGATGAAGTGTATAACCATGTACGTAAGTTTTCACACGTAACATACATGGCATACGTAACATTGTGTCGTCGGATCTTGACGGCTAAGTACGAGTTTATTTGACGTTTAACGAGACTGCGTACGTCGCTTTGATTAGTTGGTTCATTGGAGCCGGCCAATCAAAGCGCCGAGGCATTAGTACGAGTGTGTTTTACGTTTAAAATAATCGAATGGAGACCGCGCTCTGCGCTCTGATTGGCCGGCTCCAATAAACCAACCTAAATTGGACCCGGTGAAGCAGAAAAGATCCAGCCCACATTTTATTACTTTTGAGTAAATGAAGTTTACAGTAATCATATAATACCTATTCAATAGGTATTGTATCATATGATTTTTTTCTCATCAGCCTAACATTAAATTTCATTTAAACTTCATAAAATGTGGGCTGAATCTTCTAGTTAACAGGGTCCAATTGTTGTAAAACAAAGTCGTTCTAAGCACTCTGATTGGTTAGTTCGTTGGATTAGGCCAATCAGAGTGTGGAACGCGGTAACGATCGAACGTTCGATCTCGCAAAACATAAAACAAATTCGTACTAAGACCTCAGTCCGGATCGCAGGATGGTTGGTGCCGGGAATCCGGAATCCAGAACGTGTGAAAAGGCCTTATGTTTATATATGCACACATACATTGTTGTACGTAGGTACAGTAATTTTAAAAAATTGTCCCCTTGTGGAATGTTATTGTCAATTCGGTATCATTGTTGTTGATAACGCATAAATCCAATTATTAAGCACACTGATATAAAAAGTAACACTCCAGTCACGATGTTTTGTTTCAAATGATCTTGAATTGGTTTTTTGTTGACGTCACTTTTATCTACTTCATGACGAAATTAAAGTCGAATGTCTACTTAAGACCATAATTTTTTTAATAATTTAGCAATACAATAAATTTCATTTTCAAGACTATGTGTAATCAAATTCAAAACATGTAAAATTGAATACAATATTTTAATGAGTCGCAATATTGGTCTTAGTAATATCAAATTGAAATAAATTAAGAGAATAAGAAAATTTCTAGGTATAATATAGTTAAAAGACAGGTACGTATAAGTAGAATGTAATAAAGTTATACATACTAAGTATTTTGAGTTTCCTTAAGCGTAAGCTACACTGCCAGCTAGCGAGCGTGCGCCCGTAATTCGCGCATGTTGTTTCACTTTTGAACTGTGCAATGAAAATTAATTTTCTATGGCTAGTTAAGGTGTACATAGCCAGCCATATGTCAAGCGAAACTGTACATTTCTGTAGCATGGAAAGAGGTAACACAACAGGCTCCTTAACTGGCCGATGTAACCTACGCTTTATATTGTGTACGCATGATTTCTGACAGATATTGTTTAATGATTCAGGTATCAAAGAGTGAGGACGACACTCCAACTTGTGAAGTGGAAGTGTTAAACTTGCCCATCCACCAACCACCTGAGCTGGTATCTATAAGACTCCGCCATCTTGCCAAAAAGTCTGGTGGCAGGGTTGTCTCTGTCACCGCTCCTACTGCAATACTTAAGTTTTCTACGCCGGACCATGCATCGAGGTAAGCAATTTTAAATCTATTATATTTAGGATTTTGTTTAATGGGGGGGGGGGGGAATCATCGAATGACTGCTCCCGCCCGGGTGCGGTGGGAGGGAGTGTCAGACTTCTCTTGCACTTCGAGCCGGAGCCCCGGTAACCCGTTAATTTCTCCGCGATATTATATTTAGGATATGTCTCGTTATTGCGTTAAAATACTATATTTCCTAAAACTGTTACCATCTTCGAGATAAACGATATTAATTTAGATACACGAATTGCTAATTTACATTTCAAAATAGTAATTACGTTTCAATCCAAACAATTTTGTATAACTACATCCTGAACTATAAATAGACAAGCGAGTTCAAGTAATGTATTCAAGTTTTTGCCGACTGCATGATACCTAGAATTTTAATACTGCTTAAGAGTCTACCCATAGGTTCTTAGTGCACGACGCACGAAGTCATATAAGGTGGCATTGTATCAATGTATGTGCAATATAACATCAAGAAGGGAGTGAATAGGTTTTTTAAGGATTGGCAAGGCGCATGTAATGCCCCAAGTGTTGCAAGCGTACATAGGCCATAGTAACCGCTTACCATCAGGTGGGCTGTGTGCATTTTTTGCCATAGTCGTGGTATAAAAAAATGTGCTCAATCTGGATTTTGGATGTAGGTATGACCTACTAACTAACAAAATAAATAACAGATTTCAGTCCAATATCTTTGGAAACGTTGCGACGTTATTAGGATAATAGTAGGAAACAGCCAAGCTCTAGTACCTACTTATTGAACTGATCGTAGCAGGTCATATGAATCGCGTGTCACTTTATTAGTGCATTCACCCGAGCCGATGTCGATGTGTTGACACTAATTGCATAATGGAAATGCGTTCTTAGAAGTACCTATACGTAGTTTGTATATTGTATTATGTACATAGTTATAATATTGTTAGCTGGTTTATGCAAATATGTATTTTAGAATGAGATCAAGGTTTTACCTAAAGCAACATAAACATTTTTCGCGCTAAAATGTACGCATTTAATCTGTGGACAGTGAAAGTTATTACGCAAATTCGCGCATCTGTTAAGACGTTGTTTTATAATGTCAATACACGTGAGACGTGATTGCACTGCGTCTTCGCTCATTAAATTATGAGTTTTTGAATTTCGATCCCTGATTCAAAAACCAAAGTCTGAAGATTGCGTTCGGTGTTTTGAAAATACGTTTGGCCCTTATACAGTTGTTTATATTATAGCAATCCCCAATCCTATTGTAATGTGGACCCCATTTAATAACAGAGCCAGTAAGGCGTGTTAAACATAACCGGTTTTGGCGTACAATGGTCTACGTACCCTCAGAGAATCACGAACGCACTGTTAAGTAATGTTATACTGGTAGAAAGGAGTTATAAAATCAGAATAATTAAGATTAACACACATACATAACGAACTTTTTAGTAAACTAACGCCTTTTATCTCATTGACAAGTCATATTTAGGGCGCCGTCTAGTTCTTACTATCCCAAAATAAATGTGGTCACAAAAATAAATACTTTTTGGAGAGACAATAGAAAAGGCTAGGCGAGAGAGGTGTACCTATTAACAGGCACTTTTTTTAAGCGTAGCCAAGCTAGGGATTGCTCCCGAGTCGTAGATGCGTAGCCAGGCTTGAGATTACTCCCGTGCCCTAGATACAAACATAGTACCTAATTAACTGGCTTTGAAATGATAACTTCACCTTTCTTAACCTTTTATATACCAATATGAAGTTGTTTCTCTTCGCATTATACTCGCACCCTAATAGTCGGAAGTAGGAAGTCGGTATTCATACATATGCCAGCTGTTACGACGTCACGTTTCACCTCGATCATTATTTAGGTTCCAGTTATGATTTCTTTGTAATTATCTGTATTTGTACCTACAGTATAGAAACAGTATTGTATAAAAATACTACGGAAACGATGGTTTGAAACTTGACTAATTTAACCTAGTAGCTAGTCCGCGTAGAATATGATTCCTGTTTTATACCATGGGAGCATTTAATCAGTATAAAAAGTATCAGTATAAAAAGTAATTATGCCTGTATACCTAATTTCATCAAAATCCGTTTAGTAGTTTCAGTGTGATTGACGGATATACATCCAAATAAATAAAATTTTCACATATAATATAGTGTGATGTTCATTATGAGTACTTATGATTTGCTGGAAGTTAATGGTAGTTTTATGGAATTAATTCATCGAGTACCGGTTTTGTAGACATAATTATAGAACAATAAGTTGCGGTCACCGGTGACCGCTTGGTGTTTGACAGTTAAATGAGGCTGTTGTCATACAAAGGTCATAATGTCAGATTTTCTAAGCTAAGAAGAAAAACCTTATAATACGTTTCCTTACCTGACAAGATTTCTATGAAAATTTACTTAGTAATGGTCCTTGCAATCAATCGAGAGTTGAAAAACATGTATATTATATTTACGAACATCGAGGACTAATGAATTTTCGAAGGATTTACAATGTAATGTAATAGACAGAAGACGTCATTAATGTCATTACGAACATAAATCAGCTGATGCATCGATACATAGATAATAATAGCTATACTTAAAGCTTATCGATAAACATTTAATTCTTATTTTATTTATTGAAGCAGTCTAATTCATACAATACATATTTTAATTTAATTTTAAAAACAAAAAAGGATAATACGAAAGGAGTTCGATTCGTAAATTAAGGATTTATATTTTTTAAGTTTACCTACATAGTTGGAACGATTTTAGTTGTAGTATCTAATCGCGATTTGAACAGGTCATTGCATCGTCAGGCACGAGCCGCAACACAGTGATATATGTTGAAAACTTAAAAAAATTTAAAGTGTAACGTTCTTTTTTCAAAACCTTTTGTCGTTTTCGATTTGATAAACTATTTAATTAATGATCTCCTGGCGTGGATACTAGATACTATGTTATTATCAGGGTAAGACTTATTATACATTTATTTCTTTGAAGTGTTTAACGAAAGTTGCACTTTTTGATCGATTTGTGCCTATATTTCGTTAGTTGGAAACTTTGTTGTAATATGACCAAGTGGATTATGTTTGCAAAACTCTTAATTTACGTGATTAAACGTTTAGTTCGAAATGATGTAATCTTGAGCACATTTTTTCTGTGATACGAAGTGTGTCGCAGATCTCAAATTATTGCAACTATTTATTTTCCGCTATCAACTGTTTCTGGCAGTCGTGCACTATGATATTTCTATTTTTATGCATCCTTCGGTATTAAACGCATTTGGTTGCTTTCAATGGTAGTTTGCAACGTCACACATGATTGCCATTTCAACCTCAACGTTGCGGAACGTTGGGCAGCGTTTAATCGAGTCTATCACTGTAAATATTTGTTCTACAACGTACGCAGTAGATTTAGCAAATATTTTCATGTATTCTATGTATTGTGCATGGAATTTATGCATGGAAAATCGGAACTGTTCATATTTTGGTCTTTCCATTAACATTTTCAACCTAATTTTGATTTCGTACAGTAATTGTATATGGCGATAGACTCACTTTTTATTACATGGAATAATTAACATAACTGGTGTTACATTGTACAGCACCTACTTAAATGTCTCTGCCTATGTGTTTTAGAGTTAAAGGCGTGATGGTATGTTTTTTTTAAATATATTCCCCTATTTCTCGTTCGCTCTTTGAGTAAAACGATCGTTAAATGAGTCATGAATCATAACCAATAAAAAATATGGTAGTCGGATTTTCACTATAGTTTTATTGACCAAATTGAGGGTATGTAGGTAATTAAAATCAAAAGTTTCGGGTAGTTTTTGAATACCAACTAGATAATCAAACTGTTAACGGCAGAAATTAGGAAGCGATTTTAATATTAAATCCAGAACAATCTAGTTTTTTTTACAAATGAAATACTGCTTCAATAAAAATCGGTCTCAATTTTGTCAATGTTAAGATGGATTTTTCAAATATAAAGGGTTTGGATTGAGATCGATATCGACCGTATAGCTGTGTGAATAGTTATCATTAAGCCTTTAGCTGCCGATAAAAACTGTTAATGGGTTAATCCTCCGCTAGCGTCGGACATTATTGTCCGACACGGCATCCAATGTGTTGTTAATGGTATGTGAACTTGTATGTTTGTAAACGCACCCACGACGCAGGAGAAAAACCTAGTGTGGGGCAAGGTTTATTTCTTAAACATCAAGATTAGATCATACAGTAAGAGGACAAAAGCTTACTCGAACCATTTTTCACCACTGTGATAGTACTTCATAAATGCGACCCTCTACAGACTTGATTTATTTTTTAAGTCCCTCTTTAACATACCACCGATCCGAGCTACCCCTTTAGCGACCCCTCAATTGTACCAAAAATGAAATTGTAAAATTCTTTTGTCCAAGTATTTGTCGCAACTGCCATGGTGGTAACGGCACTCAGGTTCGATTACCGGGTCTAGCGAATTATTATTTTGATATCGTTCATAGAAATTCTCAAATTACTGATGACTTAGGTCAGTGAGTGTCGTTAGGAGTGGAGTGGGTAGACAGAGGTGTACTCAAAGTACTCACACATGTCACTAATTTATTTTGTAACTAACATTGCAATCGATTCTGTTAAGAATTAAGAACTAATATGACAGTAGTTCGCATTTCCCAGTGAGTTTCGTCGTATGAGTGAGGTTAGCGGGAGGCCCAATTATCCCCTCTCCGATCCCCGAATTTCTTAAACTCAAAAGGCCGGTAACGCACTTGTAAAGGAGGCTATACACGCTAGGTTTTGCATGACGGCTTTAGCCGTGCATGCATAACCGACAGGCAAGCCCTAGTGTGTGTCGCGGAGAACCTAACGGCCACGGGTAACCGGGGCTCCGACTCGACGTGCAGCAGAAGGAACGGGGTGGTTTTTAGTCAGTAAGAGTCTGACACTCCCTCCCGCCTCACCCAGGCGGGAGCAGTCATTCGATGATTTTCCCCCCTTAAAAAAAAAAGCCCTAGTGTGTGTGGTAAGTTGGTGCATGCAAAACCTAACGAGCATGTGTGGTATGAATTTTGGTTATGCTTGTCGGTTTTGCATGCAAAGTTAAAACCATCCTGTGTGTAGCCTACACCTAGTGTGTATGGCCTCCTTCACGCCTCTGCTGTTTCGGGTGTCCATAGGCGACGCCGATTGCTTACCATCAAGTGATCCGTGTGCTCGTTTACCAGCTTATCTCCGTAAACAGCTTTGAGACCGCATTCTAAAGAGTCGTGCCTATCACCATTCAACAATAAGAACACGATACTGACTAAGTAGGTCTTGTAACTCTATTAAGATACAGTTGGAATATGACACGCTCTGATTATATTGTCCTCAGCGAACTGCGCATTTATGTTCGTTCTGAGAATACGTATACAAACTTGAATATAAAATTATTCAATAAGTGTTAGTCATGGTGGTCGGGAACTGAACTTTTTATACGTTTGTCCTGTATTCTTATGTGCTTAGGTACTTTTATTATCGGTACGAGTACGAATAGTTTGTGCATAAGCGCATGAGCAATCATATGAACCTACTAGTTTTAGTTAGTAAATTTCCTTTTTATACAAACCGTGTACCAACTGAACATGATGAACAGCCAAATAACTAGTTATCCAATTAGTTGTACCTATACTTTGTTGTTCTGAAGTATAAATATTTAAATTATGTATTTTGTAACACCCTCTTACTTTCATAATTTCTATATTGAGTGGGTTTTCAAGTCATCTCAATTTTTTGTTACAATAGTGTCGGTCTCCTAACTTATGGTAATTAACTAGTGTTTATGCTCGCTAGTTCTTTCCTATATTGTCCATATATTACATAAATAACATACTGAATTTGTGGTAAAACAAACATAACGTAAATCCCGACTTTTAATCCCCGAATGATATAGATATCAGACATATTTTGGGCAATGTAACATCCACTTTCTCCTGTTATGATAAGTTACTTATAACCATACCAAACTCACTATAAGATAACATTAGAGACTTGGTTATATCCCCAGGTGTCTTCTTAACGGCATATGCTAATTAGTTAATGGAGGATTTGCCTTCAACACTTATCTACTGACAGTCAAAGAGTTAAAGGTTTTCCTAAGACGTACTCTTATTGCATTACTGTGGTAAAAATATTTTTATAATTATTTTTTTACTTGCAGAGCTCTGATGCGTATGGACGGGGAGGATGTGTACGGACGTAAGATAAGTACGCGGTACGCTCGTAGCACTGTACCGCCGACGTACTCCAGTGATGAAGGGTACAGCACTGCGCCTGCGTCATACCAGCCACCCGCCTTTGTACCACCGCCTGCCAAGGTTTGTATAGCTTTGTTTTACATTTCTTCCTTTTTATTAATGCGATAGTTGAGTTTCCTTTGAAAGGAAGTAAGTATGATAGTGAAGAATGTGAATGTAAGCCATGAAGCAGAATGCGGCGATCGACTACTCACCAGTTAGAAGTACTAGGGGCAATAGAATACCAGCGCAAGACCCTGTCTTGCTAACTTGAACATGCCGAACTGAGTGATTCGGATTGGTTGGTTCACTGGACCCGGCCAATCAGATCGCCGAACGCGCTCGATACTCTTTACATTACGAATGCGATAGTTCTTCGTGCTTGGCTCTTGGTCCCATTTCACCGCAGACTTGGGACATGAACAATATGAACATGTACCCATCAGTACTTATAATCTAAAACGTCTATGATCTGTTCTGTATGCTTTTTCTTTCTTTCTAACCAGGGCCTTTAGCCAAACGCCACTTTAGCGCTTGTCTACAGAGAGAGTAGAAATCAAAATGTATGGGGATGACACTGACAAGTGTCAAAATTTCCATCAAATCCATATAATTTGGTTTTCTATTTTACATGTGTACTATGTACAAGCGCTAAATGGCATTTGGCTACAGCTGCAGTAGATGATATTGAGAAGACAGAAAATTATTTCAAAAGGATCGAGCAATAAGGATAAAAAAATATTATGTTAATGTTTTACACTAGGAATTTCACATAATATTTATATGATAACCATAACTTGCAATAACAATGTACAATCTTCTTATCGTACATTGCGGTTTATTACTGACATACACATTTATGTGGATAGATTTCAATCAAAATAATGTAGAAATACATATAATGTTATTCTTATTTCTATTGTCTTATGGTCGTCAATGAAAAAAAAAACGAATGGAGTTTCTCGCTCATTCTTCTCCGTTCGAATCTACATTTTGGAATGAGCACCTAGCTTCACCTAGTTTCACTGACGGACTGACTGACAGACTATTATTTATTTGTATTTGTTGACGTTTCAAAAGTACTAAACTATGGTTTAATTGAAATAAATGCTTCGACTTTGACTTTGACTTAGAAATGCAATATTTGTTAGCTGTAGAGAAAATCTTAAGTCCGATTTATCTTTGCCGTGAGTTTACATTGTCTTAAGTTTTTAATTGATTTGTTTCTAGATATGCTCATCGCCTCAAGAGATGGGCTCGTTCAATACTCCTTGCATTTCGAAGGAGTGGGCTATGGCTCTGAAACAACTGCCGGCGCCTACACCACCACCTCATGATTTCTGTCCTCCACCTGCACCCAAACCTAGGAAGATTAGGGGCACGCATGGTAAGCCTTGTATTAATGCAATATTTTTAGCTTATAGCCTCTGCCAGCTGTTTCGCTTGCGTAAAAGTGGCCTGTGTTATTCCAAACCATACATTGCCCCTGTTTCGAATTTCATCTTGATCCTGTTAGCTGTTTTGATGTGATTGAGTAACAAACACGAACTCATAACTTTCGCATTTATAATACACATAACATAACATAACGCCTTTTATCCCCGAAGGGGTAAGCAGAGGTGTACATTATGCCACTGTACAATGTAACACCCACTTTTCACTATTTATGTTATGAGTCCCATGTAATAGGGCGTGAGCCTATTGATGCATTTATAATAATATAGTAAGAATAGTAAGATAGTAAGACTATTCAAGACGCAACGTGCTGCGGGTTCGATTCCCGCACGGAACAACTCTGTGTGATCCCACAAATTGTTGTTCTGGGTCTGGGTGTCATGTGTATGTGAACTTGTATGTTTGTAAACGCACCCACGACACGGGAGACAATCCCAGTGTGGGGCAGCGATAAAAAAAAATAAAAAAAATATATTCACTGTCAAAATGTAGTAGGTATGATGTATATTTTGACACTGGGAACAACGTAGCTACCTAATCGTTGACCTTCCACTTTTAATCAGTAACTTTACCTTGATTAAACATAGACTTACTTTTTGTACTTTGTTCTAACCTTCATTCAATATTTTTTCTTTTTTAATTATAGTATTGTGCTCAACTTTCAGTAGTGTTCACATTTATATAGTTAATCCGTTTATTTATTTCAATACTTAATAAAATTTTGTTTAATATTTTTTCCTAATACATTTCAATATTGATGATACAAATTTGAGATACATATACACCGTGATATTTTAATGGTTGTTTTCCCACAGTAAAATGATTCTATTTTAGTAGTACAATAGATTGAGAAAGTTGTTTTTAATTTAAATAAAAAAATAGCAGTTTTACGATAGTGATACACGAAACTTGAAAGAAACCGCGAACCAATAGTACCTACCGCCGCGACCGGCCACCGGCCGCTGTCATTGTCGCTCGCGCTTATCAAAAGGCTGATAACTCAGTATTTATAAACAAGTGATTTCCATTTTCCCTTCATACTTTAACGGGCTTAGGGCCGTCGTAAATACTTTTTAACTACACTTACTAAACACAAACATAAAACAAAATTTAATCAAGAGATATTATCTTGTTTATTACTGAATTTGGGAAAGTATTTATGGCGTATTTAAAAAATGGGAATCAACGTATTTACAATGATTTTAATCACCTATCTTATTGTTTTATTTACAAATGTACAAGTACTTACACTTCCCGGTAACGGAGCAATTGTTCAAAGTGTAAGCCACCGCGTTCCACACACAATCGTGCACGTTTTAACTGATTGGCTTTCAATTTTAATAATGTGTCTCTGTCACGTCTAATCACATCAAAAGCGTCCACTATCGCACTTTTTAACGCGTCGCGAGTTTCGTACTCTTGCCGATACACAAGGCGTTTGAGATTAGACCACAAATAAAAGTCTAGTGGAGTAAGATCCGGGCTTCGTGGTGGCCATGGCACTGGCCCGCCACGACCGATCCAACGCTGGGGAAACACCGAGTCGAGGTGCTCTCGCACGGCGCGCTGATAATGCGCAGGGCAACCATCGTGCTGGTAATACAGGCCATCCATGGGCACTGCTAACGGAATGTCATCTAGTAAGTCCGGGATAACACTACGTAGCATTTGTAGGTACGTTTCACCGGTTAAGTGTCCTGTCACAAAATGCGGACCAATTAAGCAGCCGTTTATTATACCGGCCCACACGTTTACACTAAACCGCACTTGATGCGCACATTCCCGAATAACGTGTGGGTTATTAAAAGCCCAAAAATCATAATTCGCCCTCGCGTACAATTGCACCATAGCTACGTACTCCACATTAGAAAAAACGTAATGGCGATCCATTTTGGCGGCAATAATATTGTACTGCGCTTGCGTGGTTGCGCGGACGGCGTTCGCGGTGCGACTGGTGTGAATGAAAGCGATGCGAGGCGATGCGGGCCGATGCGAGTGACAGAGAGCGCGGTGGTTGCCTTTGTTGTTT